GGGAACATGACAAATTGAACTGTTCCACACAAGATAAACATAGGAAAAATGAGTATTTTTAAAAAAATGAAAGCGACCTTTGTAAGCATTTTGGAATCTGTAATTACTAGCAATGGTAAGTTGCGTTTAAATGAAGTAATGCAAGATAAACTACAATGTGAACTGTGCCGTGAAAACACAGAAACAGCACAATCTGGGGGAAAAAACAAACTAAAATTGTGCACCTGGAAATGAAAACAACTCTTCTTCTAACTCCCCAATGCCTTACTTTACTTTCAACCTGCTACGGCATCAACAGTTCCACTTCAGTATATGCGCACGCCCTTTTAACTCTGACTGCCCTAACTCCAACAAAAACTTGGTTTCTTGACTCAACACATCCAATAAAGTCTCTACCAAAATACTAAATTAAAGCCTCTTAAACCGAAACTGCTTCTTGCTCCAACACCTACCAATGGGACACCAGACAAAAAAAAATCTCAACCATTTGGTTCACTAACATGTCCATTCAGCTAAACAACTGAAATTTTATTGCACAAAACATTTATATACAAGAAAATGACCAGGCCATTCTTAATTAATCCAAAAAATGGACAATTTATGAGTGATCGAAAGAATCGATGTTCACAAAATAATTTGCACAGAGCATTCAAAAAACATCAAATCAAAAACAATGGTTCAGAGAAAACACTCGCGAAACTAGTTTCATTCCTACAATCACCACGCATAATATTTTTGTATCAGATTATTATGACCAAAATCAGGCATCCTTAAACTGTCTCTTCAAGTCTCCACATCGACAACTTCATCAATCGGTAACACCGGTTCTTCTAAAACAGGTTTTATTCACAAAGATATAAAAATTCCTCGACGGTTTCATTTTAAAAAGCTTCAAAAAGCAAGAAAAACTGACGCTTCTGTAAGCTAAATTCTATAGGCTGGAAAGAGGAATCTGCATCAATTGGATCCGCTGCGAACTTCCTAAAAAAATTATTTTTTAGGCTCCACAAGATACGAGGATTTATGCAAGTTGTCACGATAAAAAAGTAATTACCTAAAACAATCTAGCAGAAATACTTGTTAAAAAATAGCCTTGAAACTGGAAGAGAAGCAAAAAGAACTAACAGGCATTTCTATTATATTAAAATCTGCACCATTAATAAGAGCAAAGTTCCTTTTAACGAACCCAGGCGGGTACTGATGCTTCTCTGCCCACCCCATATCTTCAAAGCTTTAACAAAAGTTCTACATATACCAACCAAATTCATAACATTAATTTCACCACTACTCAAGAACATAAGCGAAATGCGTTTTAAAAAACTTACCACTTCTGATCTATGATAAGCTCAACCGGTGGAACTGAAATTGAACCTTTAAGAATGATTTAAATACTGTCAAAGAATGAATAAAAGTATAAACAGGCATTTCTTACTACGAAGTACAGAGGATCAGAATTGTTACTTTATAAAAAAACAACCTATGTAATCGTGGTCCAGAAGCGGTCCAGACGCCAGCAAAGTCATGTACGAGCCATCTGGAACCATAATTCTGAAGCATTCAGAACTTTCAGCCGATGGGTAGTCCAAATACTTGGTTACAATAATTTTTGAAAAATCCTAAAATATTGGCCAACAATAACAAGCTATCCAGATGTTGGAGCAAAACTAGGAAGTCTTTAGTGGACGAATCAAGTAACAAAAGTATATATTTTCTTACCCCCATGCGTGAACCTTCATTTGAGCTGTTTTGTATGCGGTGAGAGCCAGGATCAATTTCATTATTTCACAACCTACACGATTTTTTCGTTACAAAAACCAAAATGTAAAAAATCCTTGCATTTCTTAATTTTTTTGTGAGCAAAATTTCTTCAAATATTATTTGACAAGCCAAAAGCAAAAATTGAAAGATAACGAATGGAAGATTTCATTTCTATAAAAAGTAATCATGCCAGACTCGTAAGTCGAATATCAATTTTTTGACAAAATAGAAACTACAAAATTTAAACCAATAAACTGAATTACTAGCATACTTTGAACACATCCGATAACAAGAAAATTCAAAAAATAGATCTTGAACTGTTTAACAATATCCTGCATTATTTAACTTTTCTCTAGCAAAGCCAAAAAACTAATTTGTTCATAACATTTACGGCATTAAACTAATCCCTAACTACCCGTTAAAGTTGCTTTAAAAATCATAATACCATATATTAAAGGATAACTGGAGGTCACAGAGGAAGCTGCTGCGAACGTTCGTGAAAAACCGTAAGCCACCGGAAAAGGAAAAGCAATCAAAAAAATAAAAAAGAGAAAAAAAAACAAAACTATTTTTAAATGAAAAAATTTTCGCTAGCTTTTCTATATTTCAAAGCTAACAAATTGTAGTAAAAAAATCAAGCGAGAATTCTAGCATTCAACGATCCATTCCCTTAACCAAAAACAGAAAATAAAGGCTTTTACAGAACTTTAGAGGTTTTGCCATCAAATAGTTCTGAAAATGACTTCTGACAGCAATTATTAGAAAACCTTTGAGAGTAGAGGTACAGCAAGAATCAGAAAAATTTTAAGATAAGACAAACGGTAGTAAAAGAAGCTGGTCATGGTGGTGCTTTAAAAAGAAAATATTCTCACCACCTTAGCCAAAACGATTAATTTGCTTCAAAAATCTAAACTTAGCGTTTCTACTCTGATTCATTCCTGAACTGCAACATTTCAAGACGAAGACTACCGTATGGTAAAGGCAAAAGCAAGTCAATGACACGGCAGAGGTCATGAATCTGAATAAACCTATCAGTCTCTGGAAAGTTATAGTGTAAAAAGGAGAGCCTAGCAATTAATCCAAGAGCAACACCGTGAACTCCAAAATACGTCCGGTTTTTAGCCAAACCAGTCCACACATGGGAACTAATGATTCGACTAAAAAGCCTTAAGAAATTGAAAGTATTTACAAATATAAACCAAAATCAAACGGATTTCTTACATCTTCAGAATCCTGATTCTCGTTAAGATGTGCGAAACCATTTACTGGAACTGAGCTGCTGTTATGAAAATCGTCCAAGAACATCTCAGTTTTATTATAATCTCGTTCCATTAGCATCGATTGCTTCATATGTGA